AGCCCCCAGCCCCACGTCGCCCCCTGCCTCTGCCATGCTGACCGTCAGCTCGATGGTGGCCTGGGTGGCTGGGGAGGGCGCAGAGGGGTGAGGGGTGACCCAGGGGGGAAACATGGCCCCCACGCTGCCCACGCAGGCACTCACATTCACAGCCGGAGCCAGCCAGCAGCAGGCGGTCCCTGGGCAGAGCCCGGCGCCCGCCGCTCACCCCCCCCAGCCGCTCGCGGGGTGCCAGGTAGGGGTACTCCCCGTTGGAGCCCATCACCACCAGCCCTGAAATGCAAGTGTGGGGAGGGCAGAGCTCAGGCACAGGAGCAGGGTGCTCACAGGTTGGCCATTCCTGCCCTCTCCGCACCCCACTCTTGGGCAGGCACCAGGCACCCGGAGCAGCCCAATGCCCACATCCAGCAGCCCCTTTGGGCCAGGAGGCTCCCGCAGGAGCCCCACAAAGCTCTGGATGCCCCCACAAAGGGCACACATGGGTATGTGCTCCCCAGATGGCAGTGCCCACCTGCACCTCGCTGAGTGCTGGTGGTGCCATCCCTTACCCAAGCACCCTTGTGCGTGCCATGCGTGCACCCCATGGGCTGCACACGCTGCCCGCCCACCTCCATCCCCAGAAACTGCCCCACACAGCACTGCAGACCCCTTCCTTGGGACCCTGCCAGCACCATGAGCACAGGCAGGCCAGCTCCAGCCTGGTGCTGCCAGGCTCTGCCACAGCATCCAGGGCTCCAGGATGCCAGGAGGGTTGGGTGTCCCCATCATCCTCTCTCCCTTCCTTGCCCCTGGGCACCCACACAGGGCTATGCAGCCCACAGTGTGCCTTCTCCCCTCCCCATCCCCGCAGTCCTGGGCTCAGCCTGGTCAGGAGAGGGGAGACCCCGGGGCGCATCCCTGCGACCCCCAGCCTCTTCCTGCAGCCCTCTCATCCTGGGCAATCAACAGATACAAATCCTGTGGCACTGAATCTGTGTGAGTGTGCACGGCTGTGCAGAGGGAAGGTGCAAGCCTGCAGCTATGTGCAGAGGATGTGTGCAAGCCTGCACGCATGGAGTGTGCATGCAAGCATGCACCGGCGTGTGACAGGGGTGCACAAGGACACACGTGTGTCTGGGCTGCCTGGGCACTTGCCGTGCAAAGGGCCCCAGGTGGGTCACCCGAGGGGTTGCCAGCCTTGGAGCAAAGTCCGGCTGGAGGCTGAGCACCCACAGGAA